TGTTGTCCAATCCTGTCGCGCCGCCTTGTATATGAAAAGAGTGAATCGCATACCAAACACATTAAAGTTGCTGTTTAAGGTGTTCGGAAGACTGTGAGTTTCACCAGTGTCTTCACCTAGGAGGAGGATTACAACATTCTCATATTCTAAATCACCGAGATTAAACCCTAGTAACAAACCAGTCTCTGGATCTCTGAAGTCTGTCTAGGCTAAGTCCATTAGTACATTTATGATGCAATTGGACAGAGATGGGGACAGTGGGTATCCCTGGTGGATACTACTGGTTATCATCAATTTAGATGATAAGTCTCCACAGGCTCTTACCTGGCTGGCTTCGCGAGTTCGAGTAAGTAGAGTACATTGATCAGTGCGATATACTTCCTCGTCACTCCGTTCATTGCCAAACATTTCCATAATACATCTCGATCGACCTATTCGAATTCCGTCTTCAAGTCTAGAAATACGGCAATTGTTGGACACCTGTAAGTATTCCTCTATTCCAGAATATGTCAAAGGTTGAAGATGGTGATCAATGCAGCCTCTACCTGCTCCAAAGCCTCACTGGTTTTCTCGTGTTTCTTTCTCTCTCTTGACCACCACTTAATCTACGCACGATTGTTTATTCAGCCTAAAACTTTACCCACCACAATTAGTCAAGCAGCTTATCGGTATCTGACTATCACAAGAAGATATGTCTCCATTCTTGTATACTGGGATGACCAACGAATTACACCAGTCTAACTGGCCTATCTCTGATCTACCTCCAGACATTATCTAATTATCTGCATACAGACGACCACGGACATCAATTGGACTGGGACCACCAACGTTCAAATATTAAACAGAGGAAACAACAAGAATGCTAGAGAATTTTTAGAAGCCCGCCTGGTATTCCAGTGAATCATCAATCAATAGATACATAGAGATAGACAAAATTTATCAACCGATAAGAAAGAAACCTCACACACAAATGGTCAAAGTTCAAGTGAAAGAAACAATCAGTTTCAATACAAGTAACCTCGAAAGTGTGAAAACACACAAAAAGCAACCAATCACGTCCAAGATCACCAGAGGAGATGATTAATAAACTCATGGAGAAATCTAAAAGCTTACTTCAATTCAAATTGAAGTATGCGCTGAAGATGTCACCCAGTAGGGTGATGAAAGCTTCGCAAATTAACCATCCAGCTCAGAGAACACAACCACATCAAAATCATCCACCTGAGCTACAAATCTTCTCCATCATATCATTGTCTAATACCTTAGTTAACCCAGACAGTAAATTGTCTCCTCTGTCCGAAAACACCTCTAGAGTCATTCCCTCAGGTCCTACTACTTTGCCTCATTTCAGACTAGAGACACCTTTTGTAACCTCAGTTAGGAGGATGTGGAGGACCAGTGTGTGTGTGTGTGTTTGTGTTTGTCTTCTGGTTTTCATCGTTTTACGGAATGTCTTACATTTTTGCTTTTATAATCCATTTTGTCTCTTTGAAACTAGAGTGTGTTTGTCTTCTGTCAATCAATAGTAGAATTATATTTCGTCAACTTTCATTATTGAAGGTGTTTGGTGGAGCTGCATTTGTACTTTTAATTTCATCTTCTTCTTCTGAGGCTTTAAGATTCATGTGTGTGGGGAATCCTCATGTGAATCTTATAACCCTAACCATATGGCGCCATGGCCTGTTTTCTGCGTTCAAGGTAGATTTGCAGAGTTTCTACACTTAGTAAACTGTTTTAAATCTACCCATGCCTCAATATTTATCCTTTCCCTTAACTGTTTTTGTGTGTGTTTGTGAATTCATTTATTTTTTTTTACTTCTTTTTTCCTTTTACGTGCAGTTCCACCTTTTTGGAGGACTTAATTGTTCTCCTGAAACACCTTCATAAATCAAAAATAAAGCGCACTTTTATCTGCCCATACTACTAGCTTTTAGTGCTGTAGTCTGCGGAACTGTGCGTACAGTCAGTCAGTAGGAGTGATCTTTAAGCTGATAGTGCATTGTCAACCAACCCTATTGTAATTACTTCTCCTTTTTTGACATTAATGAAAATATTACTTTTCCTCAACTTTCAACCTTCCTAGAAATGTTTTAATGACTCTCTAAACACTTAGCATATAAACAAGACAGATGTACTTTGGATGATGCTTCTGGTGCTGTCTTACATCATTATGAGAAAGGAGCCAAATATGTTTGATTTGCTGCCTCCCACCACTTTTTTTAAATTTCTTATTGAATCAAAACTGCTCACCAATGCTGGTATTGAGAAATTGCGCGTCTCACAAAAAAGGGGAAAATCTTCTATACGAATAAATAGACTACGATCGACTTTCTCCACACGACTAGTGATTCGGTTGTACGTACGTAAATGAAGAGTTGGTGGTGCTGCGGGTGGTGATCTCCTCAGTGTTTATCTGGCACTTTATTCACCCTTATCTTCACTACTGTCAAATGCTGCTTCTGTTTTCATTTCATTTGATTTTCTGAAATCATAACCAAATCAGGAGTACTTCTAGTATAATTATCAAGTAGTGGAGAAGATTTGTAGCTCAAATTGATGATTATGATTTAATCGTGTTCTCAGAGCTGGTTGATTTAACTGCCAAGCTTTTGCCGCCTACCTTCCAAACAACATCTTCGGAGCAAGCTTTAATATAAAGTGAACTTGTTTAAATTCTTCATGAATGATGCTGATATAATTGTATCTCCCGACAACCATTGTGGGGTGATTGGTTGCCAATTTACATTGATAATTTTTATCGACATGAAATTTGAACTTTCTTGCTGGTAAATTCGGTCTATAGTAATGTGTTTGTCAATTGCCGATTCACCTGAGTATCTGGTTCCTAAATATTTCCTGGCTGTATTTTTGGTCTATCCTCTGTTTACGATTTCCACATTATCCCAAAACAAATTTATGTCTGTGATTATCTCAATGCATCGATATGAAAGAATACATATTGTGTCTTTTCATCACAGTTATAATTTATGTTCTTCAATTCTGATTCGAAGAGGAAGCCCACCTTGACTGATTTGACGTTTATCGCAGTTGGTGCAGTTTATTTTGTAAATGGTGGTAGTGTTGATCGCATCTCCTTTTTTGTTGGATCTTTTATTTTGCACAAAATCGAATTTAGTGACTGTGTTAGCTTGTGTGTTATATCTATTTCAAATGGTCTACTATTCTAGCTTTTGTGTCGGAGATAACGTTTATATATGCGATCATGTTTTATTTCCCATTGGACTAGCCGCTGTTATAGTAATGAAGTTGTCTCTCCTCGACTGTCCATGCTTTAATTTGTATCTCTGTATTGGTAGACTGTGTAAGGTCATTGCATCCTACTTACTTCTGCTCAGGGTGAACTAATGTACAGTACTGATGTTTTTTTCTTGGAATTGGGTCTTATTCGATGGTTGGAGGCAATCGGCTACAGGAAGCCTTGTGTTAACCTACGTTTTATGCAGAGTCTTCTGAACACCTTGGGCTGCAATCTGCGAATGTTTGGCATGTGATTCACTCCTAAGAAATGTAAGATGATGCTATAGGATTGGAATACATTGACTCACTCCTAGCTTAAAAATAGGAAGTGAAGTGGTAGAGCACGTTGACCGCTTCACTTATTTGGGAGGTTGCATCTGCTCAAACGGGTTGATCTCCGACTAAATCTCGGCATGGATACGGAAGGCTAGTTTCGCAAGTGTCCGTTCATGCCATCTCTGGCTTAGTAGACGTGATATCCCGCCGGCTGTCGACTAAAGGACGTGTGTACTGCTCATCAGTCCGCCCCGTCCTCCTGCATGATTGTGAGACCCGGCCATTGAGAGTGGAAGACATGAAAAGGCTGGCTAGCTGTCTTTGATCATAGGTACTTGCGTTTGATCTCCCATGTGAAGTGGTCTAATAAGATGAGCAATATTGAGGTTAGGCGTCGGTTGAGTGCTAGGTAAGGAAAGGAAATCACTGGACGAGGCTGTGAAGTTACAACGACTGAGATGGTCAAAACATGTGTTACGCATGCGTGCCTAGCCATCGCCTTCCTTGACAATGGGCGATGTCAGCCGACATAGTGTCAGGTTGGAAAAAAAGCAGTGGTGGTCAGACCAAAACATGGCTACATCAGTCAACGAAATCCACAACACTTAGTTTAAGCCACGTAGGAAGGTGTAGACTTTCCGGTTGGGGTCCTCGGAATGGCAAATACCAATGGCTTGAAAACACTAGTGATGTGGTGAGAGCAGCATGCTAGCCAATTGGTTGACATTAATCCATGTCAATGTGTAGGTCGCTAATATGGTCCGTGAGAAAATATGAACAAGGCTGTTTCAACAACCAATCACAGCAAACTTAAACGTTGGCAAATATGATTCGCAGATAGATGGCTCCACTTTCCGAGGAACTGGAAAACAATCAATCAGAAGACTGCGTTTGTCTACTTGACTAGGCTATAATAATGTGTGTGAAATTTATATAAATACGTGTTGATTTCCGTAATAAAACGATCTGTCGCCTGGCCCTTGTCTTCTGTTGTTACAGTGATATGGCTCAAAATCGTTCTCAATGACCAGCACAGATGCATCTACTCCTCGTGACTTATAATATCCAATAAAATTCTATTGTTCTTCGATATTACTAATCTTTTTATCTGATGTCTCTGTTTGCTGTCTCTATTTTGCGTTCCTCTTTACTTTCTCTTGCTTTGTGTGCTGAGTGAAGTGTATCGGCTCGAACTGCTGCACATCGGTGCAAAGTAGTTCTATGTTGAAACCAGTCACTCAGACGTTTTATGCATGTTGATACTAACCAGTGAGTAAGGCGTATCCGCAACTATGAAAGAAGTCTTGTGCCTTCTGGGATTCGAACCCGTGTCACCCAGTGCTGTAGTCAGAGGTGTTACCATTGAGCTATTCGGGCTAGCAGTCCAATTGAAGAATTGGTTTCCACTTCTGTTTTTATTATAATATTATTATGTTAATTTTTTCTTCCCTTACCACATTATATAGGCAGCTCAAGTGAAGTAATTTACCAGCCATCGCCTATTGATGATCCACAACGTAGACAGCCAGATATCAGTACAGCTATGAAATATTTAGATTGGAAACCAGTTGTCAGCTTACAAGAAGGTTTACGTAGAACTCTGGTTTACTTTAAAGACATTTTACGGCCTTCTGATTATGGTGTTAACTAGTTCTCTGTCCTTTCTTCTTTCTTTCTGAAGGATAGCTTTGTTTTTACCTCCAAACTGGTGACACAACGACAGAATAGTTCAAAGTTCACACGTTCATTGCTTTTTTGTGATTTAAGTGTTTCAATGCTACTTAATACTTGTGTACATATTAATTATAAATATTTTGATTTCATGTGGCGTTTTACTTGTTGGTAAATCATTTCTTCCTAGGATTAAGATTTTATTGAAAGTTTTGTCAACATAGGTAGGTATTGACAACTGCTACCTTGCCGTGGTGGTCGGGCTTGACCCAACAAGCTAAACTGGCTGAGACTCATGTCCCTGCAAGTCCTACCATGTCAGGTAGGTTGTTTGGATAATGGTTAGACTAAAAGCAGTTACCATGGGGTACATGGGTTCCAGTATCCAATCGGATCAAATGGCGTAAGAACCCATATGGGACACCGGGATCCATGGGAATGCAGCTTCTGACACTGCTCCGCTGCCTTTTGGATTAGACTCCAAGTCGAAGGCTTGAAGGGTGGTCCCTTAATGAAACCGCCTTCCTCGGTCTGGGCGCCTGAGCAGTATCTCAGACGTCACACAACAAATGAAATAAAAGAACAAACTATTATTGAAACTCTCCGCGCGCTCGTAAAAATGAAATCAATGGCGAACGCGTTGCAATTTCCTTGTTTCTTCCCTTCCTGATGACAGTTAACGAATACTGTTTGAACTTGTTAAGCATGACTGTCTTCCTTGCAGATGATGTTCTTTATCCGCTTTCTACTTAGTTTTTACCTTTAACCTATGTTGCTTTATTATTATCGTGTGGCGAATCTTTCTTGGTGCCATATTGTACTAAATTTTTTCCGCGTTTAAATAAATAAAAATAATACATTTTCATGCACTTTCAATGGCCATGTCTGATAGCCATAGAGGCGAGCGGATCAGACTGTCTCTGTGCAGTACATACATCATTGGGTCAACAGCCGGATATCATGTATACGCCAGAGATGGAGTAACTTCACAAATGTCAATCGAGCCTTTTGTATCCATACTGAGATTTCCTCAGCTAACAACCCGCTGAAACTGATGCAACTTCTCAAATAATAGGTGAAGTGGTCAACACGCCTTACCACTTCACTCCTGCCTATTACGAAGCCAGCTAGTAGTCAGTGTTGTCCAATCCTGTCGCGCCGCCTTGTATATGAAAAGAGTGAATCGCATACCAAACACATTAAAGTTGCTGTTTAAGGTGTTCGGAAGACTGTGAGTTTCACCAGTGTCTTCACCTAGGAGGAGGATTACAACATTCTCATATTCTAAATCACCGAGATTAAACCCTAGTAACAAACCAGTCTCTGGATCTCTGAAGTCTGTCTAGGCTAAGTCCATTAGTACATTTATGATGCAATTGGACAGAGATGGGGACAGTGGGTATCCCTGGTGGATACTACTGGTTATCATCAATTTAGATGATAAGTCTCCACAGGCTCTTACCTGGCTGGCTTCGCGAGTTCGAGTAAGTAGAGTACATTGATCAGTGCGATATACTTCCTCGTCACTCCGTTCATTGCCAAACATTTCCATAATACATCTCGATCGACCTATTCGAATTCCGTCTTCAAGTCTAGAAATACGGCAATTGTTGGACACCTGTAAGTATTCCTCTATTCCAGAATATGTCAAAGGTTGAAGATGGTGATCAATGCAGCCTCTACCTGCTCCAAAGCCTCACTGGTTTTCTCGTGTTTCTTTCTCTCTCTTGACCACCACTTAATCTACGCACGATTGTTTATTCAGCCTAAAACTTTACCCACCACAATTAGTCAAGCAGCTTATCGGTATCTGACTATCACAAGAAGATATGTCTCCATTCTTGTATACTGGGATGACCAACGAATTACACCAGTCTAACTGGCCTATCTCTGATCTACCTCCAGACATTATCTAATTATCTGCATACAGACGACCACGGACATCAATTGGACTGGGACCACCAACGTTCAAATATTAAACAGAGGAAACAACAAGAATGCTAGAGAATTTTTAGAAGCCCGCCTGGTATTCCAGTGAATCATCAATCAATAGATACATAGAGATAGACAAAATTTATCAACCGATAAGAAAGAAACCTCACACACAAATGGTCAAAGTTCAAGTGAAAGAAACAATCAGTTTCAATACAAGTAACCTCGAAAGTGTGAAAACACACAAAAAGCAACCAATCACGTCCAAGATCACCAGAGGAGATGATTAATAAACTCATGGAGAAATCTAAAAGCTTACTTCAATTCAAATTGAAGTATGCGCTGAAGATGTCACCCAGTAGGGTGATGAAAGCTTCGCAAATTAACCATCCAGCTCAGAGAACACAACCACATCAAAATCATCCACCTGAGCTACAAATCTTCTCCATCATATCATTGTCTAATACCTTAGTTAACCCAGACAGTAAATTGTCTCCTCTGTCCGAAAACACCTCTAGAGTCATTCCCTCAGGTCCTACTACTTTGCCTCATTTCAGACTAGAGACACCTTTTGTAACCTCAGTTAGGAGGATGTGGAGGACCAGTGTGTGTGTGTGTGTTTGTGTTTGTCTTCTGGTTTTCATCGTTTTACGGAATGTCTTACATTTTTGCTTTTATAATCCATTTTGTCTCTTTGAAACTAGAGTGTGTTTGTCTTCTGTCAATCAATAGTAGAATTATATTTCGTCAACTTTCATTATTGAAGGTGTTTGGTGGAGCTGCATTTGTACTTTTAATTTCATCTTCTTCTTCTGAGGCTTTAAGATTCATGTGTGTGGGGAATCCTCATGTGAATCTTATAACCCTAACCATATGGCGCCATGGCCTGTTTTCTGCGTTCAAGGTAGATTTGCAGAGTTTCTACACTTAGTAAACTGTTTTAAATCTACCCATGCCTCAATATTTATCCTTTCCCTTAACTGTTTTTGTGTGTGTTTGTGAATTCATTTATTTTTTTTTACTTCTTTTTTCCTTTTACGTGCAGTTCCACCTTTTTGGAGGACTTAATTGTTCTCCTGAAACACCTTCATAAATCAAAAATAAAGCGCACTTTTATCTGCCCATACTACTAGCTTTTAGTGCTGTAGTCTGCGGAACTGTGCGTACAGTCAGTCAGTAGGAGTGATCTTTAAGCTGATAGTGCATTGTCAACCAACCCTATTGTAATTACTTCTCCTTTTTTGACATTAATGAAAATATTACTTTTCCTCAACTTTCAACCTTCCTAGAAATGTTTTAATGACTCTCTAAACACTTAGCATATAAACAAGACAGATGTACTTTGGATGATGCTTCTGGTGCTGTCTTACATCATTATGAGAAAGGAGCCAAATATGTTTGATTTGCTGCCTCCCACCACTTTTTTTAAATTTCTTATTGAATCAAAACTGCTCACCAATGCTGGTATTGAGAAATTGCGCGTCTCACAAAAAAGGGGAAAATCTTCTATACGAATAAATAGACTACGATCGACTTTCTCCACACGACTAGTGATTCGGTTGTACGTACGTAAATGAAGAGTTGGTGGTGCTGCGGGTGGTGATCTCCTCAGTGTTTATCTGGCACTTTATTCACCCTTATCTTCACTACTGTCAAATGCTGCTTCTGTTTTCATTTCATTTGATTTTCTGAAATCATAACCAAATCAGGAGTACTTCTAGTATAATTATCAAGTAGTGGAGAAGATTTGTAGCTCAAATTGATGATTATGATTTAATCGTGTTCTCAGAGCTGGTTGATTTAACTGCCAAGCTTTTGCCGCCTACCTTCCAAACAACATCTTCGGAGCAAGCTTTAATATAAAGTGAACTTGTTTAAATTCTTCATGAATGATGCTGATATAATTGTATCTCCCGACAACCATTGTGGGGTGATTGGTTGCCAATTTACATTGATAATTTTTATCGACATGAAATTTGAACTTTCTTGCTGGTAAATTCGGTCTATAGTAATGTGTTTGTCAATTGCCGATTCACCTGAGTATCTGGTTCCTAAATATTTCCTGGCTGTATTTTTGGTCTATCCTCTGTTTACGATTTCCACATTATCCCAAAACAAATTTATGTCTGTGATTATCTCAATGCATCGATATGAAAGAATACATATTGTGTCTTTTCATCACAGTTATAATTTATGTTCTTCAATTCTGATTCGAAGAGGAAGCCCACCTTGACTGATTTGACGTTTATCGCAGTTGGTGCAGTTTATTTTGTAAATGGTGGTAGTGTTGATCGCATCTCCTTTTTTGTTGGATCTTTTATTTTGCACAAAATCGAATTTAGTGACTGTGTTAGCTTGTGTGTTATATCTATTTCAAATGGTCTACTATTCTAGCTTTTGTGTCGGAGATAACGTTTATATATGCGATCATGTTTTATTTCCCATTGGACTAGCCGCTGTTATAGTAATGAAGTTGTCTCTCCTCGACTGTCCATGCTTTAATTTGTATCTCTGTATTGGTAGACTGTGTAAGGTCATTGCATCCTACTTACTTCTGCTCAGGGTGAACTAATGTACAGTACTGATGTTTTTTTCTTGGAATTGGGTCTTATTCGATGGTTGGAGGCAATCGGCTACAGGAAGCCTTGTGTTAACCTACGTTTTATGCAGAGTCTTCTGAACACCTTGGGCTGCAATCTGCGAATGTTTGGCATGTGATTCACTCCTAAGAAATGTAAGATGATGCTATAGGATTGGAATACATTGACTCACTCCTAGCTTAAAAATAGGAAGTGAAGTGGTAGAGCACGTTGACCGCTTCACTTATTTGGGAGGTTGCATCTGCTCAAACGGGTTGATCTCCGACTAAATCTCGGCATGGATACGGAAGGCTAGTTTCGCAAGTGTCCGTTCATGCCATCTCTGGCTTAGTAGACGTGATATCCCGCCGGCTGTCGACTAAAGGACGTGTGTACTGCTCATCAGTCCGCCCCGTCCTCCTGCATGATTGTGAGACCCGGCCATTGAGAGTGGAAGACATGAAAAGGC